ATTCATTCATTCATTCATTCATTCATTCATTTTATTGGGTTTGTATGCCGCCCGCTCTCGAGAGACTCAGGGTGGCTTACAGATAAAAAAGGAAGGGGGAACATAGAAAAAAATTTAAAAAACAACATTAAAATTCCACAACATTCATAACTTAGGATGGGGCTGGATAAATCAACAGCCCCAGGCCTGCCGGAACAGCCAGGTCTTGGTCACTTTGCGGAAGGCCGGAAGGGTAGTAAGGGTCCGGATCTCCACGGGGAGATCGTTCCATAGGGCAATGATTCTGGAGCATTTTTACCATGTATGGTAAATGCGTATGTGAAAAAGCTTGCCCTCAATTTTTATTCAGAATATAAGAGCATAGGAGTCAGCCATACCTTTTTGGGGGGAGATGATTGATAGCACAGTTGACAATAAGGCAGTCCCACTTGAAAAATGGATTTTTAAAAATGTTTTGAATTTCATGTGAAACACGCATGACTTTTTTCAGGCTTCTTACAAGCTTGAAAACAAAGACATTGCTGCTTTAATCAAATCATTAAAATATAACTTTAATATTACTCCTAACACAGCTGTATCTTTTGTCAGGCTTGCATAAATATTGGAAAAAAGACAGGATATTTCAATGAGTACTGTGCTTATGTTAGGGTTGAAGTACTGTTTCTAAATATGTTTTGAAGTCCTAACCGATGATACAATGCCATTTGAGTCCACACAAACACTTCTTTTTGATTTCCCACCATTACAGGCTTAAGAACACTTTTCCAACATGTACAAACAGGCATCCATATATTCTCATTCTCATACTCAAGTATCAGTCAAAGTGGCTAAAACCTGGTAAAAGAAAAAGAAAAAAATGAGCAGATTCAGTGGTGAAAGGGAATAGAAAGGAGTACAGCTAGTGGAATCATGATACAACAACATCCCTCAAATATAGGAGTGATGACTGGGAGTTTTAGTGGTGATTTTGTCTGGGGGAGAAATAATTGGGAAGGTGAATTTACTATTATCAGTTACAGGTCAGCTATCTCCATCATCCACTTTTCACCCAACAAATTAAAAAAAACCTTACATTCAAAGAAAATATCAAATTAATTAAAAAGCCAACTTATTTTGACAAGAAACATTTAGCAAAAATGCTGATTTTAGCAAAAAAAAAAAAAGTCAACAAGTTCAACAATATTTCTAAAATTTAATAAACGAGGGAAACATTTTTCTGTCTGAATAAGCTTTCAACCCACTTTTGGACTGACTTGTATAAAATTCATCTGAAAAACAAAAGGCACACCCACAAATGGTTATTCCATCTTCCTTTATTTAGACACAAGAAAACGAATGGAAGAAGAGACTGTAGAATCTGGAGAACTCTGTAGATCTTAACTAAGCTAGCTAGGCACATATCGTAACTGTAATCAACTATTTTTAATAATAAAATAATAATAAAATAAAAATAGTTAAAAATTAAAAGCAAACCATTAGCTTTTGTAAAACTTACCATGTACTTGAAACTGGTGCTAAAGGTCTCTCTGCAATGGCGTTTAGTCTGTAGTAATCCAAAAATGTTCGGGCCACATTCCGTCCTAATTTCATATCTGTCAGAGTTCAGTTAAGAATAATTCTTTAAATTATTTTCAAAATACAAAGTAACTATTGAAATAAATCACTGTGATTTGGAAGATAAAGTGTATGTAGATTAGTAATACCATAAAGGTGAAAACGTCATAGAGATATAATTATCAGAAGATATATAAGAACTATGGAGTATTATTTTTATTCACAGAGATGAAAGTAAAGGTTCCCCTCACACATATGTGCTAGTTGTTCCCGACTCTAGGGGGCGATGCTCATCTCTGTTTCAAAGCCAAAGGACCAGTGTTGTCCAAAGACGTCTCTGTGATCATGTGGCTGGCATGAGTAAACACCGAAGGTGCACGGAACGCAGTTACCTTCCCACCAAAGGTGATCCCTATTTTTCTACTTCCATTTTTTACATGCTTTTGAACTGCTATGTTGGCAGAAGTTGGGATAAGTAATGGGAGCTCACTCCATTACGCAGGGCTAGGGATTCGAACCGCCAAATCACAGATCTATCTTCACAGAGATAGGTTGCTGTTAAACTGGACAGAGGATTCCCATCTAATTTGCTACTCATTCTTATGATTTGGGCCCTTTCTGCTTCAGTGACCCACAGGGATTTCTTGGTCTTACACCATTGCCCTGTTTCTATGTGGCAGAAAATATAATTTTGCTACCTAACAATGCATCATTTAAAGGCACGAGCATTCAAAGGGTTACCTTTTTAGGAAGCAGTTTTTCTATGGGCCCAAATTTGTTAATTTTGCCATAAGTTTATTTTCAAATATTCTAAGACTATATCTTGCATTCTGTAATGCAAAAAAAACCTCACATAACTAAATGAAGGAACAAATAAATATTAGAACTAGAATTAGAAAGATGGTGAAACCATTAGGCAATGACAAGGTTTTGTTTTTTAATGAAGCAGAATGCAATATTGATTTTTCTACAGTCTAGGAACTGTAAGAATTATTTACAATTTTGTGTCCATCTCTTTATGAAGAAAAGCATATTTTATCAGTTCTTAATCTATTTGTGAGTCATACAAAATTAATATAACTAATTATCTGACACAATTTCCATAATTAGAAATGTAACATTTCAGTGTTCCCAGACATCATGTATAACGATACCAAGTTCTAAATACAATTTTCATTATTATTCACTTATTACTACAGGGATAACAAAACAAATTTAAGATGAAATGTTCACATTATGGAGTTTTCCAGAAAGCCATGCTCAGCAAAGTTTGTCTCCCAAAAACCAGTAATACTTAATACCCGTCCCTGCTTATATTTTGCCATTTTGAAAGATCTGCATTTAAAAAAATATTCACCATTTATATCAGCCTTGGATGGATAATACAATATACTAGTTTTTAAAAAAATAATAATCAGGTGTATTAATTATTTTTCTTGGATTTCCAGAGCTACATTACATTTCCTGAAATTTGTCTCTGATGTTTGCATTCAGTTTCCACATTCGCTATTTCTGCATATTCAGGTGGAAAGCTATCTTGTGTTTTCAGAAACAGCACAAACATCTATTTCTCATTTTAAACCTAATTTTATTGGACATTGTTAGTGGCTTAGACCTAAATGAAATAAACAAGTCTTTTTAACAACAATATAATTGCAGCTGTTATGGAATTTTATTTATTTATTGTAGCATTTATATCCTGTCTTTCTATGCAATATATTCTCAAGCGATCCTATAAGATTGTTTTCAATTTATGATACATTGTCATAAATTGAAAACAATTTGATAAATCCAAATTAATTTGGATTTATCATCCAAATTAACTGCAATTTGGATTCAATGCAGATCGTTTTCTCGTGAAAACTGATCCATCCCATTTGCCTTTCTTCATATGGGAGAAAAGATATAAATGGATAAAAAGCTGCTTGAATGAAGGATTTAGTAAGAAAAAAATAACCCTACAACTCAAGAAAACAAGACCTCTTCCTTGCACAGAGGACTGCATCAAATTTCAATTCTTGTTTAGTTGTAGTATGTAAGAGCTATTTAATGTCTGCATGGCATTTGGGTTTTCCTTGATTCAGTTTCAGATTTCTTATCTGATTTCTCATCCAACTTCTCCTTATGCTCTTTTCATGTCTGCAAGGAAATCATTCAATGTCTATGGATCATCAACTGGCTGAATTTTTCATCTGCACAGACTCCAAACTACAATAAATCCCTGATAAAAGATTATTGCAGATTTTTTTTCTAACTGCTCAATATCCTATAAGGCCCAGCCACATGCTTTAAACCCAGAAATGATGGGATTTGAAGTCCAATAACTTTGGAGGAAACTTGTTTAGGGACTAGCAACATTTAATTTGGCAGAGCATTATGTTTGTTACCAAAAACTAGAAACAGGTTTCTAATTTACTAATAATTACTTTAATTGGCCATTCAATTTTTTCCACAGCATTGTCATTTTGGCATCATGCAGTTTGTTGCACCCATCACTGTTTTTTTCTCTGTATATGTTTGACAATTTCCAAGATTAATCCGGCTTCTAAAAAAATTGTATGTCAGTTTATTCATCTTCACATGGCAATGGTAAATAGTATTCTTACGTATTATTATGTAGTAATAATATTACTATTAAATAGTAATTTATACAGCTCCCAAAATTTTTATGTTTATTTAAGACCATTAAATATTTGATTATGTTCTATCAAATCATTTTCAACTCTTAGCACACATGGACTTTCTCCATGACAATCTGTGCCTAACCTGGTCCTTCAAGTCTTCCAACATGGTAGCCATTGCAACTGTAACAGGTCATTCCACCTTGCTATTGGTCATCCTCTTCTCTTTCCTTCTGTTTAAATCTTTAGTCTGGTTTTTGGTACAGAATATGGGGTTTTCAATTGTTACTAGTCTTAATCGTGAACTAAAATGCTTTACGCAGGTTCAAATGACAATAGAAATAAAAATGGCAGCTCCCCCATGACTTGTTTGCTTTAATTCTTAGTATCATTATAGCTCTTGTGGTAACTATTAGGTTAAATGTTGTATCACCATCTTTCCTAACTAAAAATAAATAGCTAGAAAAGAAATTACCACAAATTCTTCTACACCAGTGAACTTCTCAAGTTAATTTGTTTCTTCAAGATTTCCTGAAAAAAATACAAAGTGGGACAGAATCCAAATCCCTGTAAAAGTATCAAATGCCCACTTTTATCCATACCAAATGCTCAAGTAAGGGCACATATAATCCTGATCTTTTTTAAAAAAATCCAAACTGTCCTTAGTTTTTATTTTTTATGACTTGTTCTTTCTTTTTTTAAAAATTATTTTTTTATTTTATCAATTTCATATATACATTCACAATTATATGATCTCATCACTGTTATTAATAATATGTATCATATATCCCCCTCAGGGAAAAGGGCGGCCTACAAATTCTAATAAAACTCTCTATAAAAAAAAAACTCTCTATATCATATAATTTTTCCCCTACAGTTGACAATATACTTGAAAATTGCTTTCTTACCATCCCATAGATCCATCTTANTCACCCTCACCAAACATCAATTCCATCAACCAATCAAGATGTGACAACACAGCCAACCAATCTGTTTAAAGCAACAAAGCCAACATTCCACACACACACACCTACATTTATAGAAAAATGGCAGCTCCGATCACTCTTTGCTCGCATAAGCATGAAGCCAAAGGCACCAGCCTGAAGATGATGAGTGTAACCTCATTGAAACGTTGCCAAGATACTGTCAATCTTACATGGGAAAAGACCCGAATATGCCAAGACTTGCATATATATTCGCTCATAGGGATGCCCTGTGCATGTGTACGCTGCGCACGCATGCAAAGTACAAAAAAAATTGTTCTGCGCATGTGCAGAAGCAAAAAACAAAATGCACCACCCGGAGAACCAGTTTGGGGGTGTGGCAGGTGTGGGTCGCTGCCAATTCCAGCGACCCTGGCCGCCAAGCTACTGGTTCGGCCGAACCAGTCCGAACTGGTAGGAACCCACCACTGATATATATATTTGGAATTCCTCCCTTAAATATGGAAGTATTTGGTGGCCAAGGCTTCAAGTATGGACAGATCTGTAATCAAAGCAGCCTTGTAATGTTGTTTTGAAGAAGAGCCCATTGAAATGAGAATTTGGCGATTCCTTCCCTCCCCTATTGAAATGCTGAAAGTCTGTGTGAAAAACTTCAGCCCAGGCTGAACAAGACATATTAACTCATTTTCCCAATTTACCATCTAGGAAACTCGGGCCAATCGTTTTGGCCATTAACAAGCAATCAGTTTAAAACAGGATGGACAGCCAACATCCATAATTCCTAATTATGTCAAATGCCTTTCCCTGAGAGTCCCAAAATTAATTAAGCAGAGCTCTGTAGGAGGGTTCTTGTTTCTGAGGATGTCTGGCAGTTTAAAGTATTAAACACAAACAGGAACACAGATCAGGTAGCAAAACAGTTACTGACAGGCAGTTGAAAGAAAGGCAGGCTAAGCATGACCTACAGAAGTGAATTTTACCTGTTCAGAAACTAGTAGCCAGGGTAATTAAACTGGCGAGATCAGGCAGACAGGAGAAAATCAGAACCATGATTCTTAATAATGGTTAAGCTGCTCAACTAGAACTGAGGCAACCCACATTCAGTTCCATCTTTAGTCACAGAAGCTTTACCTAACTTGCCCAATTGGTTTGTTCTGAGAAAAAATGGGAGTACTATAGGGTATCTTGAATTTCTGGAGAAAAGGTAGGATATAAATGCAAATGTAAGAAGGAAATAAAATGAGTGCTAATGTTTCCTGAAATTATATGGGGATAAAGATGCCAACACAATAAAATACTGCAATAATCAGTCCTCCATCTATTTCCCTCTATGAAAAAGAATCTAATGAGTTAGTTGTAATCTGTAGAATTTATTCTCCCTTCCTCAATGCTGTATATCTTTTACTGGGGTGGGAGTGGGGGGCTTGAGTAGTTTTCTCCCCAGTCATGTGGAGTTTTAGGGATTGCACAGTTGTGATGGGCAATCACATGTGGCTCTTTGCTACTAAAAATATTATGTGAGAGCAGGCACAATTGACAATAGAGGTTCTCTGGTTAAACGCAGGAAAGGATGGATGGACAACAGAGTCTAATGGTCTGCACAATGTGGGAAACAATTGAAATGCTAATAGAGTCCATATTCTAAATGCCCACATATATGCCCCCTCGCATATATGTGCTAGTCATTCCCGACTCTAGGGGGCAGTGCTCATGTCCGTTACAAAGCCGAAAGTCAGCATTGTCCGAAGATATCTCCATGGTCATGTGGCAAGCATGATGAAACATGCATGGAACACTGTTACCTTCCCACCAAAGGTGGTTCCTATTTTTCTACTTGCATTTTATGTGCTTTCAAACTGCTAGGTTGGCAGAAGCTGGGACAAGTAACAGGAGCTCACTCTGTTACGCGGTACTGGGGTTTTGAACCGCTGAACTGCCGACCTTTCTGATCGACAAGCTCAGCGTCTTAGCCACTGAGCCTCCGCATCCATAGATATCCAGCATAGATAGCACCAAAAACAAAATGTATCAAGTACTTGAAATGCAAATATGCATCACGAAGTCATTTCACCAATACCTAAATCTGTACTAATATTTTGTTTCATATGAAATAAAGGAGAATAGGATGGTTCTAATTTAGACAGCTATGCATGGGATGAAAACACTTGCTGGTTCTTTTCCTAGAAGAGAACAGTTAACCCTCCAATTTTTCTTTCCCTCCTGGCTGTGCAAAAAGCACATTCTACATTTAAGCATTTGCTATGCAGGTCTGTACTCAAAATGTGGGGCTACATTGCTCCAGCCAACATTTTGATTGCTAAGTATTTGACAGGGTAATTATTGTAATCTGGTATTTTGGTGAGCCCTGCTGGAGGCTGTCCAAGCAATGCAAATCTTTCTGAATTCCGTAAATGGATCTTTTTCATTTAGCCCACGCAAATGTGTCACAGTTTAATGCTGAAAGGATCCCCCCCTCCCTATCTTCAGCAGCAGCTACAAGAACTGAGATCTGCATTTAAAATGTGCAGACACACGTAGGAGTAAAACTGGCAGATTATAATTATCAATTGACAAGGGGGAAAACAAAAATTAATTTCTGAGGCAAAACATATAATTTGCCTTTAAACTGTAATAGCTATTCCATTTCTTATGCAATTTGCTGCTGCACAAAATCAGACTTGAGTTGTCTGGGATTCCAGCATTTCTCCCCTGCCTTAAACTATTCTAAAGTCTTCAGGTAAAGAAGTAAAGGGTGTTATAATGGTTCCCTCTGTTCCAATTGCTCCTTCAATTTTCAATCCTACAATACTTGTATTTACTGCCTAAGAAGATTCTCGGTACCTAACAATGCCTTTCTTTTCCTTTTACACCCCTAAAATGAGTTTTTCCAGGGGATTTCACAGGAAGATGAATGCTCATGCAGAGTATTTGGAAATGCAGAGATCACTAATATTGTTATTGATTTTTGTAGTGTTGTTCATCAATAAAAGAAAAAGAATTTTAAATATTCAGTTATGGGGCAGGGGAAATTATTTTTGTAAAGAGGCAGCATTTATTTTATAAGGTTTGTATGCCGCCCACTCTCAAGAGACTCAGGGCGGCTTACAGATAAAAAAGGAAGGGGGAACATACAAAAAATTAAAAAACAACATTAAAATTCCACAACATTCATAACTTAGGATGGGGCTGGATAAATCAACAGCCCCATAACTGAATATTTAAAATTCTTTTTCTTTTATTGAT